CATACCATTAGTCTTAACCAAATTCTCCACATAAAGTTCTAGTTCTAACATAGAACCTTGTACTTGTTTAGAACGTATTTGATAGGTATTTGAATGTATTTGATAATATAGTAACTAAATTTAAGATACTGAACAAAATTAGTGATTTTCATTAAACTTCCTATTTAGGACTCCAGAATATGCTATTTTAAATGCCTAAAGGATCTTAAAGGGATTGAGTACAACTTCATGCTTCTTTGGGCGTCATGTTTATCCAGCCCATCTATCCAGACAGGGGCTTTATTTCTGCCATACCTGTAAGGTTGTGACCCTGTATGTGGGATAGACACTGAATAACTGTCTTTTGTTCCCTGAGATTTTTTAAGTTTTTACCTAACATATACATTTAATGGAAAACACTGAATTGAAGGCAGTCACGGTGGTTACTGACACTACACAGAGCCACTACTGACTCAAAAGCTGCTGTATGTAAGACTGCCAGTTTCTTTACTAACTTACAACTGCACCTGAATTCCAAAAAGAGCTATGAATTAATAAACTTTCTAAAACTTATTGTAAGTTTTAACACTAAGAAATTAAAAGAGCAGTGACATTAATACCATTTAGTGACTATGTTATGTGACTGGCACTTTGCCCACATTATTTCATGCTCACAACCCTTGGAGTAGACATTTTTTTTTATTAAGGTATCATTGATATACAATCTTATGAGGGTTTCATATGAGCAACATTGTGGTTACTACATTCACCCATATTATCAAGTCCTCCCCACACTCCATTGCAGTCACTGTCCATCAGCGTAGTAAGATACTATGTGGAGTCATTACTTAGTAGACAGAATCTTTTTAACAGGTAAAAGAACTAGATGTCAAAAGCTAAAGTAACCTGCCAACTAGTAAATGTTGCAACAGAGATCTGAAGCTCAGTGTCATCCCAGTTGTTTTTATTCACTAATATAATTTTTGAAATTTTAGTATGTTCTGACATGTTTCCATTTTTTGTTTAAAAATGACCCAAGACTTTAAGAAATCTAAATACTGGAATTTTAATGTCAATGGTATAAAATATTTCAAAGCTAGTATTTGAATAGTTACATAAAACACTAGTGGAATTATTTCGTAATAATCTTTTACAAAGGTAAGGCATATTTGACATCCATTTTAATTTTTTATTCTGTGTAAAGCTTTTTTTAAATTAAAGCTTCAGGCTCCTGAACTTGAAGTAGCTCTCTGATCTGACAGAAATAAGCAAAAGGTATCATCTGAAGATGAGTAAATCAAAAGGCATTTAAAACACCTGACCAAGGAAGAATGAACTTGAAAAGACTGAAAAGAATACTTCTCTGTATCTTTTAATTAATTTATTTACTGTTTTCTGACTTAGGAGATGAGTATGATGTATGTGCCATTTGTTTGGATGAGTATGAAGATGGAGACAAGCTCAGAATCCTTCCTTGTTCCCATGGTATGAAATAATTACATACTGCTTTGAATTTATGTATAGAGTTGTATTTAGGTTTGATATTAGAGGAGGAGGGAAAATAGTTATTAGTACACCATAAACCAGGTCCTGCACTAAGTAATGGCATCATTAAAATATGGAGGTGTATTTATAAAAATTTACAAACTTCTTGTTGTATGAATGCCTATAGATTAGAACATGAATAAACATGGTAAGATACTAAAAATACTGTTCTTCAACCACAATATATTACCTAAAAGATGTTTATTTTGCTTCAACAGCTTATCACTGCAAATGTGTAGACCCTTGGCTAACTAAAACCAAAAAAACTTGTCCAGTCTGCAAGCAGAAAGTTGTTCCTTCTCAAGGCGATTCAGACTCTGACACAGATAGTAGTCTAGAAGAAAATGAAGTGTCAGAACATACCCCTTTACTTAGACCTCTGGCTTCTGTCAGCACACAGTCATTTGGGGCTTTGTCAGAATCCCGCTCACATCAGAACATGACAGAATCTTCAGACTATGAGGAAGATGACAATGAAGATACTGACAGTAGTGATGCAGAAAACGAAATTAATGAACATAGTGTTGTGGTCCAGCTGCAGCCTAATGGTGAGCGGGACTACAATATAGCAAATACTGTTTGATCTTCAGGGGTGATTGGGTTATTTCCCTTTAAAGTGTTTATTTTGGTCTATAATTTGATTTTTTTGCTTTCAGAGATTCCTGTAGAAATAACTTACTTTTTATTGTTCTACAGTTTAATCAGATTACTGAAACAGGTTTTTTTGATCTGGTATTTATCTGCAGGGGTATACTTCATTTCACTAATAACTAATAATAGACTGGTGCTGGAAGTCAGGCATCCAATCAACTCTCCTTTTGGAATGAAATAAAGCCACAACATTAAAAAAATTCCTCAGTATAGCTTTCAGCTAAGACCTAGATCACAGTTATGCAAATGTTTCGTGTTATCACACACAAGGTCAGTGCTGTGGCCACCTAGCATGAGCTAAACCAACTCCCTTCTCCATCAAGTTACCTAGAGTCACTGAGTTGGAACATGATCGTTCTGTTATTTGCCCAAATTGCTGTTAGTGGGATGCAACAAAGTAATTTACCATTTTTCCTATCAGCACCACAAAGAAGGCTTTTTCCTTTCTATTCCCAAGTAGTCTTATCCTGATAGGAGTGGACTATATTAGTTTGCAGATTTCAAAGTTTTTTTTTTTCAAAGGTTTTGAATACTACAGTGTTATGAATTTGACTCATCGACTAAAGTAGTAAGTCTCTGGACTTCACTGAATTTTTGGTATCCTTACAAGTTTTGTGTTGTGATCAAACCAAAAGAAAATGCTGTGTAAAACTACCAAACTTCAGTAACTGTTAATACTCAGATCATATACCTCTTAATAAAGAGCATCTTACGCTAATAAGCCCTGCTAAACCATGTACAGAAGAAACTGTTTAAGTATTAGACCTGAAAATAATTGCTTATGTTTAACAGAACTAATGTATTTAAATAATGTATTATGAAAAGCTAAATTATATTATACATCATTGTAACTATGTAGAAAATAATACCTAATGTATAATGAAAATGCTAAGAGTTTTTATATGACCTTGTATGAAGGGAGTTTGAATGTTAATAAACACATTTTCCACTTTAAGAACTGTCAGGTATTTGTTCAAATGTAGTATCACCCACATCAGCCTTATTTATATGCACACTACTGTAAAGTTCTAATGACTAGGGGAATTTAGGTCAGACAAAACAGACATCACCTCAGAATTTTATACAAGGTAACGCTCACAAGCAACTAAGTAATCTCCCAAAAAGTTGAAAATGTAGCCAGAATCCTTCATTCCAACAATAATGTACATTATGGTACATCCTTACAGCAGACTGCTATACAGCCTGGAAATTGTTAATGAGCAAAACATATTAATAAGTACACTAGGTATGTGAGCCTTGTGTTGTAAAAAAAATTTAATAGATTTTAAAAGAAATGTAACATAAGAGAAAATTTCACTTTCTGAATTGTTTTAAATGACTATTTTATAAAACCTCTGGATATACATACATTTATTCAACCCTGAAAGTTAAGTTGTAGTTCTCCAAGTCTAGTTACTTTAACTAATGCTGTGTGACAGATATTCTGGTAGATGAATTTCTATAGCTCCATTTGCTTAGGTTAAATTAGTAGAACTGAGTACAAATTTGTGTGTATATATTTTCATGTTTTTTTAATGAAACCATGGGTTGGGGGCCATTGACTATAACAGTGATACAGCTGCGCTCTAACCACATCTCCCCTACCCAAACCCCAACACACACATCCCTCTACCTACGTTTAAGTTCATTAAGGGTTTCACAATTCTGGTCACTGCTTTCTAATTAGTTACTTTTACAGTGTGACTGAAGTGTGAATGTGTATTACTGCAAAATCTTAAATCATCACAACCCAACCACCAAATTTTCACTGGACCAAACTTTTGTTCCTAACATGGACTTTTTAACAGGTCAAGCAGCTGAGGATTTTGTTTTACAACATCTAAGGTATGTCTGACTACCAAAGCAGTCACACATCCTCAATCTTACCTACTTTTACACCCGTGTGTAAACTTCAAAACTAATGCCTGAGAATACTGTCAAAAAAATTTTAGTTATGCAGACTATTTTAAGTAGTAAGAGATTAATTCCCATTCCCTAGTCCCCTGTTCCTCCAAGTAGCATACAGCCCACTTGAAGCAAACAGATCTAATGATGGTTCTTAAAAGGACTTCTGGGGCTTAGGGAATCTCCATCTCCAAGGTGGACCTCCAGAGCCCAGAATCTGCATTGTAACCAAGTCTCCAGTTTCATTTAGATGCACCAACTTTTGAGCATCCTTGCTCTGAGCTTCTACTTGACAGTTCATGGTAATCATTTATCTAACAGTACTAAACTAACATATATACTGAACTCCAGTACATCTCAGGGACTTATGACCTCTGTGATCAAATTTGACTATTATATAACCATAGTTAACATATCACCCCAATGCCAGAAATTGCAAGAACATCCCAATTATCTTATATACTGCCTAATGTCTTCTCTTATGTGAGAGTCACAGTTCGCTGACATCAGCCGGCCAATACAGCCTCCAAATCTGAAGTCATACTACAGCTCAACACAGGAGTATCCACAATGAGAAACCCTTCTTTGTACTGGGCTCCTTACTGCTCACATTTCACATTTAGATATCAGCAACAAGAAAAAAACACTATCTATAAGTCAGTTTTCCTCTCATAGGCCAAAGAGCCTGAAATGACTAAGAGCCATTTTTAAGCGACCAAAAGTCCATGAAGACAACATTTCCAGGCATTTATTTAATTTATAATAAATACTCTTGGGAAATGGGGTAGGCCATTAGCTTAATTTTTTAAAGATTTCAGGCTTGTACCAGAATGTGGCCTATTCTGTACATTCCCAGTGTGTCAAAAATCAACTCCACCAACACTAAGCTAATAATTTATATAAACAACAGGAGTCTACAGTATTTGGTTGGAATAAATTTATTTCATCTGTCTGTAAACAAGGTGTTTAATAGTTATGGCATTTTTTTAAATGCATATTAAATCAGATGAGTTAGACTGTATCCCAGATGTAACAAAGTGCAGGGAAAGAAATGGACGAATCAGCAACGAGATTCATTTTTAAATCTGTACATTATCCACAAGGCCCAAACAATAGAAGCAAATACTAGAATGTCCCTAAAGTAGTGCCATTCGGAAGAAACCTTTAATAGGTCAGTTAAAATCCATCTCACAATAGCAACAGTTCATTTTAACAATAGTATGGCACAGAATACATATGAAAAAATTTATCACAAGACAGCCAAGTCCACAATAATGCAACTTCATATAAAAACTCAAGCTGCAAATAAAAATTGGTCCTATGAAGAACAAACTGGACACACTCCAGATGGTTATGTTGGGATACCTAATGTCCATAATGGCAGCCTTTTACAGTTTTACTAAAGAGTACAGCTGGTGTGCAAAGAAAAAGACAGGAACAAAAATGTGAGCTATTGCAATGGTGGAATGTCCCTGGGGATTCAACCAGTATGGTTACTGTGAGATTATGGGAGGAAGTGCCTTTTGCTCTTGTTTTGCAGTTGCACTCTTCATATGTCCTACAGACAGTATGAAAAAACGTTTGTCTCAAGTGCAACAACAATACTAAAAGCAAACTACTGCAGCTCTCAATAGCTCTACAAAAGGAATATTAATTGGTTAAATAAACCAGGCACTGCGTAAAAGATGGAAGCAAACCAAATACCATATATGCGAAGGGAGGGCGTGGGAAAAGAGTGAAGGAAAGATGCATGCACTTTTCCCTCCCAACCATGCGCTACAAAAGGAAGACTAAATGAGCTAAGTCAATGCTCAAAGTGCTGAAAAGACATTGATCAAATAAGAGATTGTACAACCGGCACCTTGCTTAATATTAACTTATTTTAGTAATCAATATCCCATTAATTGCTAAGACAAAGTGATGCCCAACGTGGCATGCCCCCACCCCCCAAATTTCAAGGTATCATGCAAATCATTATTGTGCTGCAATTAAGTTGCCAGAAAAGGGTTGGTTACATACAGTGGTTAACATACAAATAATCCATTGGGCAAACAGGAATTGTAACATTAGAAAATAGGTGAAAAAAAAATTAGCTACCCACTATAGTCTGGTAGCACTGTGACCATAATTAGGGTGGTGATGCAGACAGGTGCTAGGTAGATGGGGAGAGGCTGCTTACACATCAGACCTCCTCAGGTATAAAGCCAGTTCATATGCTTTCTTGTTAAGTGTGCCTCCGTGGACACCTTCCTTTCCCATGACTATAACCAATGCTGGAGTACACAAGGAAACAAAACAAAAGTGAACAATTATTTAAGGAGGGGAGGGCAGAAAGAAAGACACCTTTCCCCACCAACAGAGGGATACAAAGGAGACACAGGTTCATACCCCATCACCCTGCATTGCTAATAAAATTTCCAGAATTAAGACTCAAGCTTACAGCTAGGAAAATTTAAGAGCAATTTTCCCCTAATACTTAACAGGCTGCCTAGAAGCTAGAACCCAGAGTCTCTCAAGTATTTTGCCATTGAGTATGCCTTCTTATTCAATCCGCCTCCATGGACCCCTTCTTTTCCCATTACAAAGACCAAGACTGAAAGAGAAAGAAGAAAAGTGTTTCAAAAGAAGTGTTAATCAAGAAAGTCACATAAGTTTTTTAGCAGATAGAACCCCGATTAATAAGTTAACATTAAGTTAGTTTTCCATGAACTGTCGAACACTGAAGTCAACTAGGTCTCCAAAAAGGAAAACTTTCAAACTAGTAATATGCAAAAAATATTGTAATCTACTATTAACTGCATCTTGGAAGCCCATTCAGTGCTGCAGCACTTTATAAAAATATCTTTACATGGCTAGGAAAAAAAGTGGTCATTTATCTTTTAGGGCAAGAAACTTTTAGTATGACAACTAGACTGGCTCCAAAAATATATAAACTTAAAAAACTTGGTGGTTATTTACAAAATTCTCCTCAAATTTAACATGCTTAGGTATAAACTGTTAAGTCTTATCACTGAGGCTAAATGTGTATTATTTCCACAGGAAAACCAAAACCAAATTTTAAATAGCATTGTCAGTGCCATTCAGAAAAGTGCCAATTAAAAGAACTTAAGGCTTGTGCTTACTGACTGATATCCTTGCTGTATTAGCTGTGTGTTTAACTAAATCTAAAATCCTAAAATAGGTTTACTATTTCCAACAACGGGTTCTTCAATGATGTAGTTCAGAGGTGTAGCTCCCAAATACATGTATATATCACATTTTATATTCACTGCCACTAGAGGTCAGTAGTGCCGTACAGTATGAAAAAAATCTTTTTGGTTGTATGTCACATGGTTGATGCTTTTTAACATATTTCAAGCTCAACAAATGTTTAGAGAGATTTGTCTACTACTTCACAGTCATCTAATTTTCCTTAGAGAAATACTTATAAGCATCAACTCCCATAATAATAAGAGTAACCTTTAGGACAATCACAGGGAGTTGGTAGGACCACTTCAGTAAATTATAGTTCAGAATAGCTCCAAGTTTCTATACATGACAGTGTGGTCTTAAAATTAGCTACGTCTGCACAAGCCCTCTCTATTTACAAAATATTTACATAGGTTAACACACCTAAATTATTTGTAAATCAATTAGATGTCCTAACAAACCTCAATTTTGAAAGTTTCTTTCGAAAAAGTAGAGACTTGATGTAGTTCAGTAAGAATTTCTGCAGTGTTGACAAGTCAGGATACACCAGAATTTCTGACCAAGTGTACAGTGAAACATAATTTCCTACTTTTCAAATCTGAACCACAGCCACGTTTTAAAATATTTTAGTGAACAATTTACTCCCAAAACTCTCATTCTAATTCTTTCTTTCCTAGCAATGTATCTCATAGAAAAATGAGCCAATGTTTTTTTCATTTTTTATGCTGAGCAGTGAATGATCAAAATTCAAGCAAGAAAGATGAGATCTAAAGGTCAGGGACTCAAAAGGATTAAAGTAACCAAACAATCAGAACGACTTAACAGTCTGGATATACCATAAGATCATCATTGGACATGTTAAGAGTTTAAGAGACAATTTAGGTTTTCCGTTTACTAAAGCTGAAACTGAAGAGTTGATAAGAATGTTCTATTTTAGAATAAAGTCAGGATCTCTGGGGCTAGGCTGTTTATGCAGCTGCTGTAGAGTAAGTAAATGTATAGCAGTGCCTCCCTTCAGTGCTGGGCAGTTCATAAAAACCACCTTAATAGCCATTATGGACTAACACTTTTTACTCAAAATGTTAACAGAACTGCTTATTAAGTTGTAATGGGGTGTGCAACTATTACCCAGTGATACTATCCTTACCTCTACCAGCTCTGCCGACAGCAACGTTGTATGTTGGCTCCCCACCTTGACTCTTTGTCCGGATGTCCATTGTGCAGTCACCATCGACGTACAGGCTATCTCTGATCACTGAACACTTCTTTGCGCCAAGAGTCAAGCCGTTGGTAAAGAAACCTTCCCGGTCTTTTCCTACAATCATATCTATTTCTACTGGCTGGTCCCCCCACCAAAAAAAGAAAAAAAAAAAGTTGTAGTTAATTCCTTTAAGGCTTCATATAACAGGAAAGATTGTGTGGCAAGTTTGTACTACTACCAATACAAGAGGTCCAAGTAGTGTAAGATCAAGTTTCAGTCTTTCCTAAATAGTTACTTAATCCTACGTGATTATGTTTTATGTTAGCTAATAAGATTTCACAGTTAACACTAGTCTAACTAAAGACCAGTGTATGCAAAGAATCTCCAACTAGTTGGTTGGTGACACCAGATAAACTGCAAACGAGTTATTTATAAACTATCAAGTCAGCTGGTACCTGAAGCTTTATGTAATGGTAAAGATTCACCTATCAACTCTTTCAACAACTGTGTGTCAGTCATTTAATCACATTACAGTCAGTCAGGTTACATACAACTTGGAAGTTGCTTGAAAGTCTTCTGAAATAAAGCCTATGCTTAGCAGATCTGTTCACATCTACTCTGTTTCAAATAGCTTGAAATATTCTCCTAGTATAAACTTAAAGCCCTAGACCTCAGCACATTACCCGATTGATACTTCCCTCCTTTTTTCTAGCTACTTTTTCTCTCCAACTTCGTTTCCCCTCCCACCTCAGTAATCAGTTTTCTTTGTGGGCAAATGCAAAGAGGATTCCGTCCATAGCACTGCAGTAGGCAATGGTAAAATAAAGAAAATGGAGGGAGACTGGGAAAGAAACTGAGGTAGCCACCAGAACCGGAAAGGAGAAAACGTGCATTCTAACATTCCATGAATAAGGAAGGAAGGCGTCGCCCCCATCAGAACTGCAGAGTCATAGCAGGCCCCAGCCATTTCCAAGCACTCTCCCGCAATCTTCCCAGCCAGACAGCGGGAACTCACACAAAGACGAGAGGACTGCAGAAGAAAAGTTGATTACCAGATGCCAATTCTCCGAAAGAATTGTAGTCCGCTGCGATTATAGGAGACCTTAAAGTATCAGTGTCAAGACCTGAGTTCTACCTAGTCAGAACTTAAACCATGTTAAGTAGTAGAGAATAACTAGCAGCACCCATAATAGGGGGCCGAAATTTTGGCATATGATGGCAAGGGAGCGTGAGACTAAGACATTAAAGGAATGGTCCTCCTGTATTTGATACGACCGTCGCGATTTAAGAAAGAGCCTTGCGCAGAAAGAGGCAAAACAATAAAGTAGCATTGGAAACCTAGTGACAATTATTCCCCAAATAAGTGGCAACCAAGTCAAAACCATCACGTCTCAAAATCAGGCAATGTAAAAAGCACACATCTGTGTTAGTTCCTTATACTACCATCACTAAAGAGGGAGGGACTTGAAGAAGTGAAGTGTTGTCCCCTTGGTCTTCGCAGGTTGAAAGCTCCATAAAAACACCCCCCTTTTTAAAACTACGTTGCGTAATTGGGGGTAACGGTATATCGATGAATCTCCATAGGAGAAATCAATGGCAGTTCGCCATCTTGGAGAATTAAAAAAAAAAATCCTATGGAGCCAGAGCTTAAGTCGAGATTCACGAATCCACCTACGTTGCCGGCGTACATTTCTCTCAAGCCCTAGAGGCCTGGACACCCGCAAACCTACGCAAAGTCACCGCGAGGATCCCGGGCGCCGGGCAGCCGTCGCCTCCCACAGCCCGCGGCGCAGGCAGTGCGCGGTCCGTCGGGCAAAGGCGGGCACCCCGGCCCGGCACCTCCGGCCCCCGCTTCCACCCCGGACGTGCAAAGCAGACCTCAGGGCTTCTAGGGGACCTGAGGAAGCCACCCGGGAATAAAAGGTGGCCTCTCCCGCCCCAGCGGTGTGTGCCCCCTCCCGCAGTTTCTCCCGGACCCGCACCAGGAACGCCAGCCAGGGGCGGGCAGGGGGCCGCGAAGCCGGGCCGCCGCCCCCGCCTGTCAGCGCAGCCCCGGACGAGGGGGCGTCCCCGGACCGCGGCCTCCCCTCCCGCCCGCAGCCGCATCCTCGGCACTGGCCGCCTTCCACACCTGCCGGCGGGGCCCTCTCCATGCCCCGGGCCCGCGCTGCGGCGCCCCCCGGCCGACCGGCCCGCTCGGGGACGGGAACCCGGGCCCCCGCCGGTCCTCACCGTAATGCTCTGGAAGACGCCCCCGGCCGTGGCTGCCCAGACGTATTTGGCGTCGCAGTAGCCGACAATGGCGGCCTCCTGGCAGCAGCCATCGCACATCAGGTTATCCACGTAGCTCTGCCAACCGGCCATCTTCGAGCCCTTCGCACTGCAGCGGGGACGGCGAGGAGCAGCAGGCGCAGCGGCGGCGGCGGTAGCGGGCGGCTGTGGCGCGGGGGGAGGCGGGGCGGGGGCGGGGAGGAGGCGGCTCTGCGCAGGCACCGACCGCCCCCCTCCCCGAGGAGCTGCGGAGGGAGGTCTCGGGTAAGGTGCTGAGCGGCGAGCCGCGGAGCGTGTCCGGCTCGGCCGGCCGGCCGGCCGCCAGCAGCCGCGGGGTGAGCAACCAGCGGCGGGAGGATGCGCTCGAGCTGCTGTGCTGGCGGCGGCGGCGGCGGCTGCCCCTCACGCAGCACCCTTGGTCCTCTGCAGGCACGGCGAGGCGTGCGCGCACGCGTGCGTGCGATCCTTCCGCGGCGATCGGACTCGGAGGGTCCCGGGAAGGGAGGGGGAGACTGAGGCGGGGGCGCGGAGGGATACTGCTTCGGGACAATCACTACCGCCACGTGCGAACAGCGAAGTCCGGGTACAGCCGGGTAGCCGTGGGTGGCAGAGCCTTGGGCCCGGGGCCCGCGAGGAGGGCGTTTTCCCCGTCGCACTCGGCACTCCAGGGACGGCGTCGTCTGGGACGCCTAGGAGTCCCCGCTACTGACCGTGATACACCTCTCTTCTGCGTCTGGTGACTCGGGATGTGGAATCTTGACCCTCGGTGTCGGATTCCTAGTTGTCCTGGTGACGGGATGCAAAGTGTTTACTCTTCTTTGTGGTGGGGGCGACTCGCGGCAAAGTCGCCCACGCTCATCTCAGGAGCCCCCACTGGAACCCTCTTCCCTGCACCCCTCTGCCCTTCTGTCATAAAGGCAGCCAAGCTGCTCCGGCAACCTGAAATCAGAGCTGACATTCGTGCCTCTCCGGAACATTTCTGAGCTTTGCCAATCTTTCATTGTTTCATTGGGTACCAGGGGCCGCCTCACGTTCTGTGGATTCTTTGAAAGAACTCCCTTAATGTTGTACGGAATTTCCTCGTAAATTCCGAAAACAGGGACCTACGTAAACTATTTGTTGGTAACTGGGAAAGTTACTGGTGGGCGAAGTCGCTGAAAATACAAAGAATTTTTTAAATCTAAGAAAAGGTTTCCCTGCGTGAGCATAGAAATATTTCTGCTCAGGAAGGCGAAAGTAATTTTGGGACCCAGACCTGAGAATGGCTTGTATTACAAGGTAAACGGTGGGCAGAGTCACAATCTCGGATCGACTTTAGCAATACGGGTTATACGACTACACGAGGAATTAGGAGACATCCTGCCACAAACTTCAGGTGAACAAAATGATCTGCCAATCAAGGGAAAGAAGAAAGCTCACTTAAAACGTTGAAAAGTTGATTTTCAGCTCTTAAGTTATAGTGGAAGGTCAGTTTGTGACAGTATTACATGTAGCTCAGGGAAGATGACAAAAAAGGTTGCTTAGCAATCGCATTGTTTCTGAAGTTTTGTGGCTTTTTTTCTGTTTGCTGTGAAGTGTGCAGTTACTGCAGGGAGTGGGAGAAAAAGCACAGGAGACACCCCCAAGTCAGGAACTTGTCAGATTGAGACCTTATTTTCTTATGTTCTGATGATACAGAATACCTGTGTGGTATAAAATGTGTACCAAAAATTGTTTCATTTTTGCAAGTGTGCCTCTCACCTGATTTAGTTAGACTTGCTCATTTTTGTTTGCTACTATGCCTTTTTGTGGTGGCTGTTGATGGTTTTAATCGTTTAATTTTAGCACTTTTACCACCTTGAAAGTTAATGATACAGTGTGCTGATAAAACAGATATGGTCATTTTGTGAAAATTAATCGAGCTATATACCGTTATGATTTGTGCCCTTGGTATGCATGTTATCATTTCAAAAAATTTAAAGATAATGAGAGAAAATAAAAATAAAATAATGGTTTAAAGAAGTATATTGAAATTGTATTTTATTGTAAATCTACTCAAGTTTCTCAGGTTTCATTTCTAGACTTACCTTATTGTTAAAACAAAGAGAAGTAACTGCATTCCATTGTTATTCTTTTACTTGTTGTCTTTAAAGGGAAGGAAAATCCTTTTAAGCGAAAGGATTAAACCAACTGAATATTCTAGACGTTCAAATCTCAAACTATTCTAAAACACACCTGCTGGATAAGACATTCGTAAGAACTTAGAATTCCTATCATTTTTCTATATTTTTTAAAATGTAATGATACATTTAAAAATTACTGTTTTACTTTTCCAACAGTGTTTCTACTTTCCCCATGTTGCTAAAATTTAAACAACTATGAAAAATGTATTCTGTATTATAGCCTAAGTAGATTTAACAGTTTAAATTTTTAGATGCTATGGTCTAAGATAATCTATTGTCTCAGTTTTCAGTACAGACAATCCCCAATTTAAGATGATTTGACTTAACAATTTTTCAGCTTTACAGTGGTGCAAAAGTGATAGGCATTCAGTGAAAACTGTACTTGGAATTTTGACTTATGATCCTTTCTCAGGCTAGTTAGATGTGGGGCAATATTCTCTTGTGATGCTGGGTATAGCAGCAGGAAGGCACAGCTCCCAATCAGCTCACGCCATCATCAGGGTAAACAACCAATATACACTTAAAATCATTCTACACTCATACAACCATTCTATTTTTCACTTTTAGTACAATATTCAATAAGTTACATGAGATATTCAACACTATTATAAAATAGGCTTTGTGTCAGATTTTATTGCCCAACTGACTGTAGACTAAATGTTCTGAGTACATTTAAGGTAGGCGAGGCTAAGTTATGATGTTTGGTAGATGAGATGTTTTAAGTGCATTTTTGACTTATCATGGGTTTATCAGGACATAATCCTGTCTTAAGTCAAGGAACATCTGTACTATGATAAAATAGTCTGTTTCTGTTTTCTTTAGAACTAGCTTCCTAGCAAGCTGTCTTATTTTATATTTGTATACAGTGGTCTATACTTATTTCATGTAACTGCGGTTTACCACAACCTATTTTGAAAGGCCTAAGTAGAGGTAGAACACTGAGTTTTAGGAATAGCAATATTAAGTTAAGTCCAAAGGAGTATTACCAAAAGAAAAAGAATTACCGATTTGTATCTTTCTCTACCTTTTTTTTTTCAGGGTAACTGATCACTACAGTGATAATCGAGATGTCTGGGCAGAAACAGAGATATCTGTTGATACCCAGGTATCCAGACTGATATAGCCATTAACAATCAGTAGTAACATTTAAATTTTGAGTGCTTTATTAAATTTTTGAATTTTGGGTGCTCTTTCTTTATAGAAAGAGTCTGTTCCTCCAAAAAAATTTTTTTATTCTAACTTAAGAAAATGGAAATTATGTGGTAGATCAGATTCTTTAATACATCAGTCAAGGAGTGTCTGAGCCATTTAAGTCCATAAATAAATCATTTGACATTTTAGCATCTATGAAGAAACAAGAAATTAAGTTGTAATTGTTAAAATGTATTCAACCTGAAAACATTAGGGTAAAACTATAGAAAATAATTACACCAAATATAGTAAATATAGTAAAACCATAATTACATAAAGCCACCTCAAGCCCTCAATTACCTATGTTTTTCACCTCCATACTTCATTTTTCATAAAAAGTGTTTTAATTATAAAATTATCACAACAATCAAGACACTTAGAAATGGAAAAAAATCATTCTTAATCCCAAAGTAATACAAATGTTATCTTTTGGATCTATTCACTCGTTTTATTTATGATATTTACAGTAAAGAACAAGGAGTACCTACAATTCTGGTTTTGTCTATTTTACCCTGTAACTGTGAATTTTTGCTTTTTATATCTTGAGGCTGTTCAATGGCATCCAAGTTAAAATTGCTGTATTTGCTTTCTGATGAACTTGCACATGAAGTAGTGGTCCTCTTTATCACCAATATAGCTTTTTGTCTTAAAATATATTTTGTCAAATATTAGGGTAAATATCCCAACCTTTTTTTTTTATTGATATTTATCTGATGGCTCTCCCTCCCCCTTCCCCTTCTCTTCCCACTCCTCTCCTCCTCTCTCCCTTCCTCCCCTCCTTCCTGCCTTTTCTCCCTTTCTCTCTCTCTCTCTCTCAGTCTCTGTCTTTATCTCTCTCTTTCTCTTCCTGTCCTTAAATTTTAGATGTCTCTTGTAAACTTCACATAGCTGGATTTGGGCTTTTGTCTAATAGGCAATATATCCTTTAATTTCTTACTCATTTGCAACATATGTGTTCAATTTCTATTTTAGTGTTACCCTTGAAATTTTACCATGCTTATTTAGTAGAACAAAATTTTAAATTAAGTAGTATCTTCAACTCTCCCTCCAGAATCCAAGGGCCTTAGAACACTTTAAATCTGGACAGCCCTCTCCAGACTATTATTTTACACAGATGTTTATTTTTACAGATGTATTTATACATATACACTTGCTATTTTGTTCACTTATCATAACTTCTTGTATTTCAGATCATTCTATGACCCTCTCCTTCTTCCTGAAGTAAATCTTTGCAAGCTCCTTTAATGGGAGGCTTTTGGTGATATACTCTCTATTTTTGTTTATCTGAAGATGACTTTATATCACTTTGGTTCTTAAAAATTATGTTGGGTTTACAATGAAAGAATGACATTTTAAATAAAGTATTGCATTTATTCTAGTTCTCATCATTGCAGGGTTTACTTTTGTGGATCTGTTTTTTTTCTGTGACTGCTTTTGGAATCTTACTGTATTTGCTGTTCTGCAGTTCCAGTATGATGCATCTATACCTTAGTTTATTTTATTCTACTTGGAAAATGTAGTTTAATATCTATGTTCACTTCTGGAAAATTCTGTATCATTCTCTCTTCAATTGTCCCTTTTTCTCAGTTCTTGCTATTCTATTCTCTTAGGGTTCACAATACATATTTCCTTTCCTTTTCTGCTCCATACCTCTTAACTTCTCTCCTGTTTTCCATCTTCTTACCTTTTCCATCTTCTTACCTGTGATGCTTTCTGGGTAATTTCTTCAGCCAGATGTTCCAGTTCACTCTTCAACTATGATTTGCCTGTTGTTAAACCCCTACATTGAATTTTTTTTATTTCTAAAAATCTATTTTTCATTTTTAGAAGTTCCATTTTATTACACAGATTTTTTCATTATTTCTGATAGTCACTTGTTGCTCTCCCATCTTTGTGGTTCAAAACTTCATTCCTTTAAGTACTTCTTACCTAGATATTCTATATTCTGTATCTGACAATCCCAATATCTGAATAAGTTGTGTGTTATTTTTTTCTCTCTTACCCACAGTGACTTGCCTTCTTGTTTACT